AGAAAGACAAGACGAGGGCAACACAGGCCGAGGCAACACAGGCCGGGGGACGACACACGGCACAAGAAGAGAACGCACAACAACGGCGACACAAGCCCGCGGGACAGCACCCAGCACGAGGGGAGAGGCCGGCCGGAGGCCCGGGGCCAACCGGAGGGCGACCCCCAACCGGAGAGCGAGGGCCAACCGGGACCGCCAGGACCCCGGGACACCAAGGCCAACCGGGGCCGCCGGGACCGGCGGCCCCCGCCAACACCGCCAACAAAACCAAGGGCAGAGGACACGAGGGGACCGAGCACACACACGGCAACACAGGCCCCAAGAAGGGGAACCGGACACAAAGGGCACAAACGCCAGAAGCACGGCAGGGCCACCACGAGGACCACGGCAAGACCGGGGGGACGAGGGGCCCAGACCACGAAGCGGGCAAGCCAGGGAAAGCCACACACACAGCACACCGCAACAGGAAGCAAGCAACGGAGCACAACGAAGAGAGGAAACCAGACGCAAGCAAGGAAGGGAGCACAGGCCAACAACAACAACGAGGAAGAACACAAGGGAGCAGCAACCAAGAAGAAGGGACAAACAACACACACGCGAGCAGGGAAACACCGAACGAGCAGGCGGAGCAAACGGGGAAACCAAACGGAGGGCCGAAGAACACACAAGACGCAGCACGGGGCAACGAAACACAAGGGGAACACGGAGCACGAGGCAAGACACCAAAACCGACAGGGAGGCCGACCAGAGAGGGCGAGACAGACGAAACAGCAAGAAGACACGCAAAGAGGGCCACAAAAGAACAGCGGGAAGGCAAAAGACCAAAGACCGAGGCAAAAGAAGCACGGGGAACAAAGCCCCAAACACCAACGGGGCCCCGGGGGGGCCCACGGGGGGGCCCCGCCGGGGGGCCGGGACCCGCGGGGGGGGCGGCGGGGGGGCCCCGACCGCCGGGCCGCCCGCGGGGACACGGGACCAAAACAAGCCGGCGCGGAGTGGCAGACGCCAAACGCAAAGGCAAGGCCAAAAACAGGCCAAAGCGCACCCAAAGACAACAAAGGACGGGAAGCAAAGGAAAGGCCAAGCAAGGGCACAAAAGAACCCGAAACACAAGCGCGAGAGAGGCAGGGGCACAAGACAAGGCAGAAACACGCACAGGGCAGAGCAAAACACAGGGAGAAGCCAAGAAAGCAGCAGAGAGGGAAGCAAAAGAGGGGGGGAGAGCAGGGGGGACCGCGGGAGACGAAAGACGGCACGGGACACCGCAACAAGCGCCGCACAAGGCGCACCGGCCAAACCCACGGCAAGAACAGACCAAAAGAGCAGAAAGAGCCGAGCGGGAAGAAAAGACACCGGAGAGAAAAACAAAAACACAAGAGGAACGGAGAGCGGACCCGCCGAGAGGCCCAAAAGAGAAAAGGGGAAGCGGGGAAGCAACGCGGGAAGGGGGGGCAAGGGGCAACGGGGCGGGGAAGAAAAGCGACGCACCGGGGAGAGAGAAGGGGGAGCGAGAGGGGGAAAGGGGAAGGAGAGAAGGAAGGGGGGCGACGAGGGGAGGGGACAAGACGAACACAAGGGAAAGGGCAAGAAGACCCGGACGAACAGAAGGAAGGGGAAGGAACAAGGGAACGCCGGACAAAGCGCAAGGGACAACGGGGACGGGGGGGGGGACGAGGCAAGGACGAGGCCCCCAACGAGGAAAGGGCAGGAAGGGAAGGTAGGGGAGGAAGTAATGACCAAGGAGCTAGGAGGAAGGAGCGACAGGAAGCCGGAAAGAGAAGGGGGATGTGACGGCGGGGGGCACAAAGACCATGAGACAACGGCGCACATACGGGGGGGGCGCGAGGGACGACGGAAAGGCCAAAGAGAGATAGCGGCAGCCACTGAACCAAAGGGGGAGGCTGAGAGGAGCGGGAAGAAGGGGAGACGAGCCGAAGGTGGGCGAAAGCCCGGGGGAGTAAAGGGCGAGAGTGCACTACCTCAACCGAGCGTGGCACCGAGGGGCAAGGGGAAAAACTAAAGGAGGGAAGGGGAGCGCCAGGGCACGGGGGGGGCGCCGATGGCCGACCAGGCAGCGGGAGGAAACCAGGGGCGCCTCCGCACAAGGCAGCAGGGGGCAGGCGGGAGGGAGGCGAAGGGCGGGGGACAGGGGGGAGCTAGAGCGGCAGACGCGGAAAAAAAGCACGGAGGGAGAGAGAAAGGCAGGGGCGCGGCCAAGGGAGAAGGGAGGGGCACAGGCGCACATAAGGTGCAGAACCAAGGAAGGGGGCGGTGACCCACGACCAAATGGCGGCACAAGGCAGGAGCTACGAAGGAGGGGGGGAGGGGCCGGGGGAGCAGAGGGCAAGCGGCGACAAATAACTGGCAGGCGGGCAAATGACAGCGCGGGCGACCCTGGACAAACCAGGAGAGCGAAACATACGGCACTAAGGGAAGGGCAAAGGGGAGATGGGACGCCCGACCGAGCCGAGGCATGGCGGGCGATCCGCGGGAACACAGCCGGCGTGCCGAGGGCAAAGACCCAAAATCAAGGGGCAGGCAAGGGGGGAGGGGGTGAAAAAGAGCGTGAAAGGGCATAGGGAGGGCAGAGGGCGGGCCGACAAGGAGCAGGGGGCGCCACGGCCAACGGAGGGCGGCCGGGAAAGGGAGGCGGATGGCGCGCGAGGGGGAAACGAGAGAGGGAGAGAGGGACGCGGCAAACGGAGAAGGGAAGGAGAGAGGGAGGCCGCAAAGGAGAACCCAGGGAGGGGGAAAAGGAAGGGGAAAAGGGATGCGGGGGGCCACAGGGGGGGGAAGGAGGAGGGGCCTCCCGGGGGATACTAAGAACGCGGCAAACGGGGAGAAGGGCGAGAGCACAAAGGCGCATGGGCGCGGGGGCGGAGGAGGGCGGGCAAAGCAAAGGCCAAGGAGAAACGGAGGAAAGGCGCGGGGAAGGGAAAAGAAAAAAAGGGGCAAGGGGGCGAACCAGATGCAACGGGCGGCCCAAGGGGGGAACCGGGAGGGAAACTGGCGCCCCGGCGCAAGGAGTGGGCGATCGCCGGCCCGACGGGCGGACGGGGAGGGGACGAAGGAAACCACAAGGATAAACAGCGGAAGCGTGGACGGGAGAGGGAGGGAAGGGCCGGAGCAGAGGAAAGAAAAGGGAACTCAGGCAGGAGTGGATGGAGCCACATCGCACGGGCGGAAAAGGATAGCCAGAAATCGGGGCGACCCGGGCGGCGGAGATGCAGCAACGGCGAAAGGCACAGCAGCGGGCGGTGATAACCGGACGGGAATGAGAAGGGGAAAATAGGGGAGAGAGAAGGGGAGAGCGGGGCGCGGGGGCGAGGACAACGCCCGGAAAAGCAGGGGCGGACCAGTGGGAGCGCCAGTGCGGCCCGACTAGTGGAAACACAGAGCGACATAGAACAAGAGCGGGCAGAGAACGCAGGCCAGCGAATGGAAGGGGCAACGGCGGGGAGGAATAGGAAAGGAGGAGGGGAAGAGACGGAAGGAGCGAACACGCGGGCAGGACATCCATGCAAAGAAGGGCGACAAGATTGGGGAGAGCAAAAAGGAGAACCACGCACGGGCACAGGGGGGGCAGGAAAGGGGCGCGACAAGGGGGCAAAAGACCCGGAAAATGAAGGTGAAAAAGGGAAGGGGCGATAAGCCAATAAAGGGGGACCACACCACAGCACGCCCCGGGCGAACCGGGCGACAGCGCGCGCGCACTGGGAGCGCCCCGGGGGGCCGCGGTCAGAACACGGGCAAGCCGGGAAGAAAGGGGGGAGGGGAAAAGGGGAGAAAGAGGGAGGAGCCAAGCAAGGGGCGACGAAGAGTACAAACGCAAGCATGGCAGTATAAGACGGCGGAATAAGGGGCCCACAGAAACCGCAGACAGGGCCCCGCCAGGGGAGAATAGGAGTGGGAGCGCCGACCACGCAGGGCCAGAGCGCCAACAAAAAAAGAGAAAAAAAAGAGAGCAAAGCCACAAAAAGGGGGTAGGAGGGGCGGACGAAGGGCGCTGACACGAGCAGATGGATGAGATGCTCATGGGCGGGAGGTGGCAGAGGCCATGCGAGAGCGAAGGGCAGGAGCACGGGCAGGGGGGCGCCGCGCGGAACCGGCTGGGGGCAGCCGAGCGGCGGTGAGGGCGCTGCCAAGCACCATACCGCAGCTCCTCGCCGACCGGCGGGGGAGCTGCCAGAGGAAGAGGGACCAATAAACAGTGCAGGAGATGGCACGCGGCAGAGGCACGGGGGCGTCGAGCCGCGAGGAAGGAATGGGGTGGCTCTAGGGCAAAGGCCAGCAAGGCCCGCCAAGGCGAACGAAGGTGGGAACGCCGGAGCGATAGGGAGCGACCAAAGGGGGAACAGGGGCAGGCGAAGAACGGAAGGAGGGATAGAAAAATGGTCGAGGAGGCAAAGGTGGAGAAGGGCACAAGAGGCGAGCGGAGAGGGGCGGGAAGGAACCGCGAAACGATAAGAACGTAAGAAAAGAAGAGGAGGACGGGGACGGGAGGGTGAGGGGCACGGCGGCACGCCGGCCGACGGGCAGCGAAAGGAGCGAACCCGAAGGCCCGGGCGACAGCAAATACACGCACCACGCGCCCGCTGCCCGCAGCGGGCCGCCACGCAGCCGCCGCCCCCACGCCGCCGCCAAGCCGTCCGCCCGGGAGA